CAGGGTCGCAGCTCGCCTCAGGAAGGTTGAAGTGCACTCTTCAATCTTCTCTCTTGTCTCTGCTCCAAACCATCAGCTAATTTGCTAAGGTTCTGTCCTTTCAGCCTCCTTCTGGACGGGAGCTTCTGTAAAAAGCTGGCTGCAGTTCGCCATCTTGGCTCCGCCCCATGTCTGATTTTCTTAAACTATTATCCTGGAGCTGGACCTCCTGTCCAACCAGAGCCAATCATTTCAGGGCATGCCATGCTTTTATTGAAGGAAGCCTAATCATTTAGGTTCTCTCAAACTTTGATGTTTCCTTTCCTAGATGTTATTATCTATTTTTTCAATTTAGTATCATAAAGAGACTGCAACAGAAATCAGTAACATAAAATTATAGTATTAACTATTTTTTAACTGACTATTTTAAGAATAGTTTTCATAGTGAAAATGAACAGAAGGTACAGAGATTTCTCGTATAATAACTATTTTTAAAAAATATATTATGACCTGGGTATTTTTCTAGGGGCTTAACTCCTATACTGTAATTCATGTTATATTGGCAGTAACCTTTGAGATGGGTACTATTAGATGACCCATTGTTCAGATAAGTAAACTGAGCCTCAGAGGCAAAACAGTACATAATATAAATTAATGACATCTCAATATTACACCAGGATTTGTGCTGTTCTAATGGTAGTGTTTGTTTTTAACTGTGCTATCCTGCTTCAATTAAAATATATATATATTTTTAATAAAATATATATATGGAAATAAAATCCACCAAAGCTGCTTTATTCCTACTAATTACAATATCCAGCTATAAATGATCTGGACTATTCTCCAGCACTGACCTATGCTCCTGCATATAGTACTCTTTACAAGTAACTTGCTATTTAATAGCCTCAGGGATCTGTAAGCCTTTGAAGCTATAGTGAACTATGTTGGTAAAACACATATTTTTAGGTGACTGGCATTCCCATAACTTTACAACGTCTTGCCTTATTAACAACGTTGAGCCTTTGTACATATCCTCCTGTATCTATGCAGTTGGAAGTCAGAGGGAGCAGCCAGTAGTAAAGAACACCTACTAAATACTCGTATCTCTAGGGAAGGCTGTTTTTGCTATCTCAGTGAGACTTAGTTTTTCTCATATTAACCTCCTGCAGAAAACAATGAGTTTCTCAAAGTTTTGTGTGTTATTAATCTTGCCATCAAAATATCTGCCCCTAAGCTATTGATCTCAACACATTTGCGGAATGAATAAGAATTAATAACTCTTAAAAGGAGCATCACAAAGGGAATTTTGTCTGGGAAAAGCAGAGGAAAATGGAAAGGAGGCCTGAGAGTCAACATAAATGTTCTTATAAAGATGGCGACTGTTAGGTAAGAAGAGAATGAAAGACAGTGCGACTCAGTGAAATATCTCCTAGTAGTACCCAGGGGTAACTAGGTTTCAATGGAGATAACTGGGATACCCAAAGGCTATCTTCTAGAAGGATGCTAATCCCTCCTTGGTGTTTGTCAGGTCTGTATCCATCTTGGAGATTCCTCTGAGGGCTCAAGACCCAAGGGAGAGAGACAGAAGGCTTCATTATGGCTGGAGTAGCTGATGTAAAACAGCATCCTAGAGGCTGAAAGAGGAGAGGGAAAAACACAAGGGTCTGGAGAGAAGCTACAGACAAAAAGGCACCAGTAAGTTGTTGAAAAATTTTTGGTTTAAGAAAAGAGGGAGCCAACCCAGTGATCTGTCTAGTATCTCTTACAGGGCAGCACTGTAAGCTGGTTTGGTGATAGGGCAGCTTTTGGGAGCATGGCCAATTAATTTGTGGTTAGGGCTGCTGTTTTGTGATGTCTTCCCTGATCTTTTAGGTTGAGAAGAGAGACATGGCCTTGTTACTGGGCTGTGCTTTGTAGTGGAATAATACAAGGTCATGACAGGGAAGGAATCACATCTCAACAACTCTACCCTAATTGACAGAGCTCTGGATACTTCTGAACACCTCAAAGCCCCATGAAACTCAATAGGTTCTCTGGAAAGGAGGTAGGGTCCATGTGAAAATCTCCCATCACAGAAAGAAGCTAAGGTACAGAGAGGGTCAGTAAGTTTACCAAAGCCATGTGGCTGCTTGTCCAAAAACCCACTCCTGAGCTCAAGGCTCCCAATCCTGAGTTTCTTCTTCAGTACTGACAGATCGCTTACTGACTTTCTCCCTTTCTTAGAGCTCACTGTAGACACGAAGGGAAGAGCTATATCTGGTGTATGGTAGATAAATATTCTGGAGAGGTTTAAAAAAGAAGGTAACATTGGAAAGCACAAATAGTAACCTGCATTTATTGAGCATAGGGTTTTAATGGTACTATATAAACTCAATATAATTGTCTCAGTTTTTCAGCTGAGAAAACTGAGATTAATCCAATAATTTCCACAATTATAGAGCTAACCGATTGTAATGCAGATCTGATCTCAGAGCCACCACACTCTGCTGCCTGAGGGAATTGCATCTGGAGGGCCTCAGCAATGAGTTAGGACAGTCTGTGTCTAGAAGGCGGATTAAGGGACTGAGCATTTGTGAGGGTCTTGGAACGAACCACAGTGGATACTCTGGGATTGACTACACTACATAGAGTCTTCACTGTATGGCAGATATGAGATGAGAAGGCTGGAGAGCAGGCTGTAAGGGAGCCCTTGGCCTCCTTGAGGTGCTAAGCCCTTAAGGCTCCTTGGTGCCTGGCCTCCTCTGCTGTGCACGCTCTTCCCTGTGGGCACCTTGGTATCCAACCACATCACCCACTCCAACCTCCTTTGCTTCCCAGCTTTCTCTCTCTCTCTCTGTCTCTCTCTTTGTCTCTCTCTCTCTCTCTCTCTCTCTCACACACACACACACACACACACGGTCCGCCCTCCCCCAGCTCTGTACTTTCTGTCACTCAGTATACACTGTGGTCTATTCCTCTACGTTATCTCTCCTCAGTGTCTCACTATCACTTCTACATCCCAAGGCTTCTCACGAGCTCCCAAATCCTTCAAAGGGAACTGGCCCTGTCTGCCAAGATATAAAATAGCAGAGAGGAGATGGAGTTTAATGTTGTATAATGGACCAAAAGTAGAAACAATAGGGAAAAATTACAAGGAAATTGGTTTAGGGGTTGGAGCAATATTAACAAATATATTTATTACATTCCAGCTGTGTCCTAAATTCTGTGCACATAGTATATCTATGAAAACTCATACCCATTCTTTGATTATGAAGTAGCATTAAGCAAAATAAGTAAAATAAATAATGAGAATGCAGAAACCAATTTTATATCAGATGCTGAGATCAAGGACAGCAAGGCTTGCTTGCCAAGCCTCCTGCCTGCAGGCCTATTAACCTCTAACACATTGTCACCTTCCCAGGCTGACCAGTGCTCTTCACGTCGAGGATGTCCACACTACCAAGTGCAAACCTGAGCTTCTCTACGTTCCTGCTGACCGGCTTCCCAGGACTAGAGTGGGCGCACCGGTGGATCTCACTGCCGATTTCTGTAGGATACCTAGTGGCCCTTGTGGGTAATGTCACTATCTTGCATCTGGTGAGAACTGACTCTTCCCTCCACCAGCCCATGTACTACTTCCTGGCCATCCTGGCTGTGACGGACTTGGGCTTGTGCATGTCCACGCTGCCCTCCGTGCTGGGCGTGCTGTGGTTCGATGTGCGGACGGTGCGCCTGGTGCCCTGTGTTCTGCAGCAGCACTTCCTCCACTCCTTCTCCTTCATGGAGTCCGCCGTGCTGTTTGCAATGGCTGTGGACCGCTTGGTGGCCATCCGATTCCCACTGCGCTATGCATCTGTACTCACGGGTCCTCGCGTGGCCTTGGCTGGGGCTGTCCTGGGCATGCGGAGTGCCGCCATCACTGCTGCGCCCTCACTGCACCTACTGAAATTTGACTACTGCCACCCTGGGGCGCTCTCTCATGCTTACTGTCTTCACCAGGACATGATCCGCCTGGCCTGCTCTGACACACGTTTCAACAGGCTCTACGGGCTGTGCATCATCATGCTAGCCATGGGCTCAGATGTCCTTTTCATCCTGCTCTCCTACACCATCATCCTCCGCACTGTGCTCGCCATCGCCTCCGCAGGAGAGCGGCTCAAGGCCCTCAACACCTGTATCTCCCACATCCTGGCAGTGCTCTGCTTCTATGTGCCAGTGCTAGGCCTGTCCATTGTGCACAGATTCGGCCGCCACACCTCACCCCTGGCTCACATCCTCATGGGCACCGTCTCTGTGCTCTTCCCGCCCCTGATGAACCCAGTTATCTACAGTGTCAAGACCCAGCAGATCCGCAGGGCCATTCTCAAGGTGGTTTCACTGGGGAAGATAAAGTGAGACACTGGGGACAGACCGTGGAAATTCAAAACAAGAAATGAGTTGAAACTTCTTTTTAGAAGCATCTTACCACAAAATGATTTGTTTACTTATTTTTCTGTGATCAATTGATTGTATAGCATGCATGACTATAATGTTAAAGTTGATGCTTATTAGAATCAATATATATATTTATAAATATGCCGTCACTACTATTTTCTTACATAAAAATAATAACTTTTTTTACATAACTGTTCCCAAGTTCAAAGTAATTTATATATTTTTTGCTTTGCATGTTAATTAGAATTGGAATTCTATAACAATACCATTGGTGATGATATACTCTTATAACATGGAAGGTAAAATCATCACTTCATGTTCTTTGGATTACATAATGGCTTTGCCACCCTCGTTCACAATAAAATATGTGTTTATGAATTATTTATTTATCTTTTAGATTCGGAGTCTCACTCTTTTACCCAGGCTTGAGTGCAGTGATGTGATTACAGGTCACTGAAACCCCAATCTCCTGAGTTCAAGTAATGCTCTTGCCTCAGCCTCTCTCATAGCTGGGACTACTGGGACATGCTATTATGTCACTTAATTTTTCTGTTTTTGCTTGTGATGGTGTCTCCCTGCATTGCTCAGGCTGGTCTCAAAGCCCTGGCCTTGAGCAATCTTCTTGACTCAACCTCCCGAAGGGCTAGAATTAAAGGCTCAAGCCATAATACCTGGACTTATTTATTTTAAAATTGACAGAAATGTAAGTGTATTTTCTGTGTACAACATCATTTTTGATGTATATATACATTGTGGAATGACAAAATCTAGCTAATTAACATACGCATTACTTGGCATAGTTATTTTTGTAATAAGAAGACTTTACATACAATGTATCACCATTTCTAAGAATACAATATATTACTAACTATATAATAACAATATATTTCTATGTTGTAAAATATATCTCTTAAGCTTATTTCTTTTCTGAAATTACATATCCTTTGACCAAGATACCCCAATATATTCCAATCCCAACCCCTCCAGCCTATTCTACTCTCTAACTGTATGAGTTCAACTTTTTTAGCTTCTACATATGAGTGAGATCATTCAGTATTTGTCTCTTTGTGCCTAGCTTATTTTACATGTGAGTATCATTCAGGTTCATGCATGTTGTCACAGAACAGAATTTCCTCCTCTTTTATGGCTGAATCATATTCCTTTGTGTTGGTTTACTACATTTGTTTATCCATTTCTCTACTGATGATCAATTAGGTTGACTGCATAGCTTGACTATTGTGAATAGTGCTGCAATATACACGGGAGTCCAGATATCTTTCTGACATAATGTTTTGTTTTAGAGTGATATCTCCATTAGTGGGATGGCTAGATCCTATGGCCATTTTATTTTTAATTTTTGAGAAACCTTTGGATTTACTTTCTATAATGATTGTAGTAATTCACCTTCTCACCAACAGTGTAGTAGGGCTCTTTTCTCTTTACAACCTTGTCAACTTTGTTACATTTTTCCTTGTTGACTATATCCATGCCATAGGTGTGAGGTGGAATCACTGTGTAGTTTTAATTTTCATTTCCTTGATGATCACGGCTGCTGGGTAGCTTTGTGTACCTCTGTTGGCCATTTGGATGTCTTCTTTTAAGAAATGTCATTCAGGCCCTTGCTCTTTCTCAAATTGGGTTATTTGCTTTCTTGCTATTGAATTGTTAGAGTTCCTACTATGTATTACATATCAGACCCTTATCAAACACATTGTTTACAATTTTTTTTCTTATTCTATAGGTTGCCTATTCACTTTTTTTATTGTTTCCTTTCCTGTGCTGAAGGTTTTTCCTCTTATGCAATCCCATTTATTTATTTGTGGTTTTGTTGTCTGGGCATTTGGGGTCATATCTAAAAAACTATCACTGAGATCAATGCCCTGAATTTCATTGTATTGAGAAGTATTATATAACCATAAAAAGAATGAATTCTTGCCATTCGTAAAAGCATAGATGGAACTAGATGACAGTTTGTTAGGTGAATAAGCCAAGCACTGAAAGACAAATCTCCCATGTTCTCACTCACATGTGGGGGCTAAACATTCAAACAATGGATCTCATGGAGACAGAGAATACAATTATGGTTACCAGAGGCTGAGAAGGGTAGTGGGTAGGGGAGACAAAATGGGAATGGTTAATGGGGGCAAAAATACCATTAGATATTTAAATAGAATGAACAATATTTGATAGCACAACAAAGTGAATATAATCAGTGATAAGTTAGGGCATACTTTAAAAGAACTAAGAGAATGGAATTGAAATGTTTCTAAAAGAAAGAAATGAGTCCACATTTATCCTCTCTTGATTCCCCTTTACAAAATATAGCTTCTAATTCTCAGTTTCAAACATTTTTATGTTTATATAAAGTAGGAGGATGGACCCAGAATAGAACTTTGATCTATAGCTGGAACCTAATAAGTGTTTTGCACTTCACAAGTTACTATGAAGCAGAGATCATTTAATCACATTTACTCTAGGGAAAGTAGAATCAAATTCTTCTCAGAGTACAAGTTCAGGTAGTTGTGCCAAGTGACTTTCTCATTCCTGTGTGGTTGCTTAGCCATCACCTTCTCTATATTTGAGAAACAAGGAATTATAAATGACACCAAGTTTGTAAAGCCAATGGATAGAATGAGTCCCCTAAAGCAATTCAGATTACTGATGCTGGAAGAACCTGTGGGCATTTCCCCTGGAAATTAGACTGGGTCAGAAATCCCACTCATCAGCCTTCAAAGTATAAGGTGATTGCGAGGACCATCATAACATGAGTGTTTTTATAGCTAGCTTTATCATTATTTGATGAAAATTCAAAAGATAAGAGCAATGGAGCAGATGAAAATGAAGGAATTACCCTTGCAACTCTGGTCTGGAAAACTCCCAGATCTAGACACAAGGGGTGCTGCCTCAGGGAAAGCTGGAGAGGTGAGTGTTTATGGAGAGTGTGGCTGGGACTAGGTCTCAGGCTGATGACTGCAGAGCCACTAGCAGAGTCAGTGCCTGGTCCAAAACAAAGGATCAGTGGTGGGTCTCAGGGGCAGGAGCCAGAAGAAGAGGAAAGCTAGAGAAGGCTCAGAGTTAACTGTAAAGAGAACTGTGGGAATGGAATTCCACTTGTGATGAAGTATCAATAACATTCGAAGTACCTACTGTTTTCTTATGACTTTCAACTAAGTTTTATCATTAAATGTTCTTTTGCTGCCCTATGATGAAAATAAAATTATCTCTATTTCAAAGAAGAGGGTTCAGAGACCATTCATATGTTCACAACTAAAAAATGAAATTAGAGAAGGAAAATAGCAAGCTCAGGTACTTCAAATGCCATGGGTGACTCAGGAAAAGTCAATGCAGAGGACAGCCTGACCTGCACCCTTGTTAGAATAGCACAGTGAGCCAGGATCCTGCTTCCTGGGGAAACTAAACAATAAGGAAAATGCAGGCAGAGACATAGAAAAGCCTAAATCAGAACCATAGAGAGAAACTGAGATCTAGAGGATATCAAACCTGAATGTGGTGATATAATTGAGTCATGTTCACGAGTCACTAACATAAGAAAAACAGACTATTAGTAAAATGTACAAATTCACAGAACTTCACACTGTAATGTTTTCAGCACAAGGTAACTTCTCCCTATGTCACAGGACACAAGAATGGCCCTAACCAAAAAAGGGTAAGTTATTAGAATGAATAGGGGACAAATAGAGTGTTTTAAGAAGGATATGTAAAGCTATTTTTATATATTATACAAATATGTGTGTTTAGAGAAATATAATGCATGAATATACTGTAAAGACATAAACACACACATTCATTTGATACATGTATATGTGGGAAGATACACATGGTCATAGATTCACACAAAGTTGCAAATAAAATTCAACATAAAGAATCCTGGATGATTATGCAAGTACTTGCATTTACACACATGTATACACAGGTGTTCACATGTACACTTTTATATGTACATATAATCATTTCACACAGACAGATACACAAACCTATGATGTATACACAGAAAACTCTTTATTTTCTCAGAATTTGTCCTATGACTCCCCAGAGAGCACTGGGATCCTTTGTTCTTGACCTAATTATCTCTGTAGGCCCAGAAGTAGCACATTCTTCTAAGGTTGTTTAGCCTGGGTTTCCCAGGAGATTGACCAGCAAAACTGGAGACGGAGAAGGACTGGCTCTGAAATCATAATAAATACAAAAACCTGTCAGCTCCTTCTCCTGCTTCCAGCTAGCAAGCTGAGGACAAGGCCTGAGCCCGACTACACTGAACAGCATGTGGACCTTCATAGAGAAGGTATTGGGGTCACCCTAGAAGCCCAGGCTACAGGGGATCAAGAGGCTGGAAAATCTGTTCAGGTGAGCTGAACCTGCCTTAGGTTTTTGTTTTGAGATGCAGCTCATTTCTAGGACACATTTTACTTTCCCTTTGCTTGTATTTTGCTTCTCCTTTGAGGACACATACTTTTATGTGGCAGAAAGTCTCATGGTGGCAGAAGAACACTTGTCTGTCTTATCCAGCTCTTTGTTCTTAATTTAGGAAAACTGGGGAAGGGAAGCCCCCATTTTGTCCCCACATTCACTTTTTTTTCAAATAAGATATGAGATTCTGTTTTTAAACCTATCTTCTTTCCTTAGGTTTATCTTCCTCTTCTCAGGCTCCCATAGCAATAGGCATTGTCCCCTACATCCCACCCAGACAGCAAGGTAACCCTGAAGACCTGTTCCCCATCACCAACGCTTGTCACTCCTCCCTCATTTCTCTCTCAGCTGAACCAGTGTCACCTCCTCCACCATGTGCTGTCATTGCTTGCTCTTGTTCGGACTTTCTTTCCCTCCAAATTTGAACTTAATTTTTTCTTTAGAGCTCTGTGACTTTGGCTAGGCACTTAAATTGCCAGTGTCTTACTCTTCACTCATCCACATTGTAAAATGGGTGCGATTAGGTCATTTGG